TGGATTAAACCACATTTTTATAGGAAGCAAGCCTGACAAAGTCTTGGCCAACCTGATAGGAGGTTCTGGAGTGAGAATCAAAACACCAGAGTTGTCCCTCATCTGGCCAAACCAGCCAGGCCTGTATACCCTAATCTCCCTCAGCCTCTGGGTGTGGGCTGTCTTGAGAAGGGCATGACCTGATGCAAGCACTCCTTGTAGCTGAGCATCAACTCACTCCCTGGAGGACCTAGGCAGCTCATCTCCATACCTACCACACACTTTGTGCCCATAGTGCGCTCCTAGTTTTAGATTTTTACCTTGAGAGGAACATCAGAAATCTAGCCAGATGTCTGGTGAGGGTGGAAAGCCTGAGTTAATCAGCTTATCTGGTGACCCACTTCTCCCTGTCATGGGTTAGCTACTAAGCGGATTTTCTCCTTGAGGCACATTGTAGCGTATGATGTATATCATGAGTCCTAGGGAGACCCATGGAATTTCAATATTCATCTGGAAGCCTCAAGTAAAAGAGAGGTGGATTTGCTGCTCTCTAAGAGCTGACTGGTATGGGAGGTAAATTAATATTTATTGGGCACCTACTGTATGCTAGGTGCTTTTTATTTGCATAGTTTCAACATTTCCTATAAACACTATGAGCATTAATTAATACCTTCACTTTACAGAGGAGAACCTGAGGCTCATAGAAGTTAAATGATTTTCCAAAGCTTCTAAAACTAGGAAGCATAAGCTAGAGAGAAGACTCCATGGGCAGGAACTATGACTGTTTCGCTCACTACTGCATTTCTCGCACATGTAAAGTGTGTAGCTTAGAACAGATGACTGGTAAATATTTGTTGAATGAGTGAGAAGTGGCAGGGCAAATATTTGAAATCATATAAATCCCATTTAAATGCAAGTTTTCTGTTTTTATCATGTGAACACACAGCCTTCAGGAAAATCTGTGAGACCCAGGAAAAGAAAGAAAAAAAGGAGCAAACTCCTTGATTTAATCAGAAAACACACATTTTGCTTTAACCTCTACACCAGGATGTTTCCCTAGCTTGGCCACCCAAGCTGCAGAGCCTTGTGCAGTGGAGCTGTGTCTCCACTCCCCAAGGCATCGGGGCAAGACAAATGGTAGGAATGTTCACAGACTTCCTTGTGACCCATTGTCTGCATCTATTCCCAGAAAATGATTGGGAATTGTAGGTTTCAGGAGCTAATTGTGAGTGATGAAGTGCTAGATGGATTCTGGCCAAGTCACCTGAACCACGGGACACAGAATAGCATTGCCTGCTCTTTTGTTTCTCAGATTTCTTGGTAAGAGACTGAGTAAAGGCAGTACTAGTACTGAACTGGACATCTGGCTTAGAGTTTGCTTTTCACACATAAGAACCGGACTAAGGGTAGATTTTCTGACCTTAATTGAGAATCATAGTCCCTTCTCATAGGTCCTAACTGAGCCAGTGATATGGGCCACAAGGACCTCGGAATGTCCAGGGGCTTTGCTGCTGCTGAATTACCAATAATAGGATTTGCCACTAGAAAGCTGAAATCATACTCAAAACTCACAAGGCAGTTTCTTAGTGAGGAATATGGCTTCAATTTCTCATTATTCCCTGCTAGTCCTGACCCTTCTGGAATCGTCTGCAGCTCCGCCATTATGTCTGCCAGACGCACCTGCTCAGAGGAGAGTCCTGGAGGCTACCAGAGGGTCTCAGGGAATGGGCTGTCCTTGGGGGAGGGTGTGAGACAGGCCTAGAACTGGCAGGAAATCAGCAAAATCTCTCTAAGACTCACTTGAGTTGGTGCTGAACTTTGTTGAACCATGCATTTTTACTAAAAAGGGTTTAACTCTTTCATTTCAGATGAGTAGTATTTTTTATTTTCACTCATGCTTCCAAGGATCAGCTTGATCCTGTTTGCCAATTCCCTGATGTTTCCATCTTAAAGCTTTTCTGGTTTCTTGTACAGGATCCTGCAGTGCATGGCTACCTCTTTGGGAAAGATCCTACGGAATCTTCTTGAAGAGCTCAAACAAGTAAGAATCGAAAACTTGCCCTTATCTGAATGGCCCCGAGGGACTTTCATTGACTAAGCACCTTGGAATACCTTTGACTCAACTTTATCAATGTCACTGTGATCACCCAGAAGCCATGGAGCACATCAGAACTGAGAGAGCTGAGACTGGAGGGGAACAAATTGTTCAGACCGTGGACAGCGTTCTGCATCTCTCTCTCTCTCTCTCTCTCTCACACACACACCCCAAAACAACAGGATTAATGTGCTCCCTGAGCTGGTGCTTCAGCTCCTGGTCAACCTGACTTGCTTTGACCTATCCCCCAACAGGCTGACAGCAGTATCCAGGAGTGTCTCCCTGGACTGGTCTGCCTACCAGAAACACCAGCAGGGTGGCTGTGGGGCCGAGCTTCTTTCCAGCATGGTACTGGCTCTGCACAACCACCCCTGGGCAAGTGACCGTCACCTGAGGGGCCTTGTGCAGTTTGTCAGGTCCATCAGTCTCCCAGTCATCCTGGCAAATTCTGTATGAAGCCACAGATACACGACTGAACAGGCAGCCCCTCCATCCCACGATTCCCTAATGTGGCAAGGCTCCCCCATCAGCTGGGACTCCTCCTGTGCTGACCACATCTGCTGGTCCCTGAGGTTTGGCCACCCCTCCCTGTCCCACAGTGTCTCATGCTGGCAACTTGGCACTTCCGCCCTCCCAGTGTGAGCTGCCCACACGTCCAGTGTCCAAGCATGGCTCTGCCTTAGCTCAAGTTCCGGTGCTGGTGGCAGAGCCTAGCCCCTCCCAGGCCCACCTGATGCTCCAGAGGCTCCCAGGCCCAGGCCATCCCTCCTGATTCCTGCCTGGGCTGGGCCAGGTTGGGGGGTATTCCGTTCTAGCTCCAGATCCACTGTTCCCCAGGCAGCCCTGGGCTTGTTGCTGGGAAGAACACCCCAATCCAGGCCCAAGATGGTCACCCTCAGGTAGACGAGTCCTGCCCAGGTGCTGCTGTGAGACAGGTGACAGGGTTGTTGAGCCTCCCACAGAGCTCATGCAGGGGTCAGGGGCAGGTCCCCCACAGAGGTTGCAGGAGTAGGTTCTGTGTGGCTGTGTAAGTCAGCTCACACAGGCGCAGGCAGGGAGCAGGAGGTCAACTTGGCTTTCGGTTGACAGACTTTATTTACCATTTACCAAAGAGTTTGACTGCATGCAAGTTGTGAGGATGGCTATGCTCCCTGGGGAGGGGAGACATGACCCAACCCAGGCCTGTCCTAAAGCCCAGGTTGAAATGTACCTGCTGGGTCAGCCACGTCTCCTGCCAGGGCTCCTGGCTTGTTAGCATCTACCTCTTACTTAATGCTCTCTGGGTCAGGAGACGGCAGGACCCCAGCAAGGATCTGTACACTGGCACACTTGCATAACACCTCAAAAAAACAGACTCAGGAATCAAGAAAACTATAAGTGCATGTCATTTCTTTAAATAAAATCACTGGCATATTCTAGAGAGCTTCTTCGTGGACCAAAACACGAGCAGCAGTTCTACCATCTCTCTGGGCACACATCCTTGTGGCAGGTTTCCTTGGAGCAGGGCGATACTTGTTTGTATCCACCACAAAAGCCTCCATGCCCTCTCTCCTTGGAGAGGCCACCACTAGCTGACAAGGGGGTCCCAGCTAGTGAAAAATGCCCAGGAACCGGGAAGCCAGACCAGGTCTTACTTCTGACCTGCCTCAACCTCTAAAAGATCACTCCTCTCTCGGGAACTCATCTTCCTCGTCTCAGCAAAACAGAGGCTTGGACTGGCTGTGGCTGCCAGCGCCAGTCCTCTCCAACCATGGCTGGTGGCTGGCTGGGCTGTGTGGGACATGCAGTGAGGGGGGAAGGGAAGGCAGGGGTGTGAATGGGGCAATGCCATGGGGCGGGGAGTGAGGCTGATCAGGAGCACCCAGCCCAAGCACCACCGGCCTCCAGGGGTTGCTCAGCAGAGCCGCTGAGAGGCACCAAATACTTTCCGGAAGAGCTGCACCCCAGAGAAATGAAATTCACAAAATACTTTCAGATTTGTGCCTCTTAGCAATTTGTTAAAGCTGTCCTCACCTTTTCTTCCATGCTCATCGTAGACTCATGAGCAAGGCAGACAGGACTTCCTTTCTTCACTTACAAATGAGGAGGATGATTAGGGAGTTTGAACAACATTCTCAAGGTTACACATGGAGATGGACGTCTCCCAGATCTCCGTCCTGATGTCCATGTACAGCCTCTCGCTGTTTCTTCCAGGACCTCTGGTGGGGCAGCCCCTGAGAGGGGCCCTGACGCTCCTCCAGATGCCTCTAGGGCTACCACCATGTGGAAATTTCTGGGTCCAAGGCAGGCCTAGCCAGGGTCATCTGCTCTCACTCTCAGCAAGGCCCATCCTTACACCCTCCATGTCTTGGCCCCACTGGGCATAGCAGGGGTCTACACTCTGCCTCACCACCACTCTCGTCTTCCCCACGGCAACCACGTATGGCCCCACAATCAGCAAGGGTCCCAGGGCTTCGCTGCCCTCCCTTGCCTGCATTTGTTATCCTACAGCTCAAGGTTCACTGCCCTCCAACCTTGTCCAGGACAGAGCTCCTTTTCCTACTATGCTCTTAGCTGAAGGCTCCAGGACCCAGATTCTAGTCAGCCTCCTCACAGATGACCAGAGCCCCGCTCCTTGACCAAGGGTGCTGAGACCCAGTCGGACCTGCGAATCTGGGAGGACAGGGGTGAGTGGCAGACACACACGGCTGGCTCCTTGTTGGTTTCTAGCCTCTGCAGAGAGGGGCATGGTGGCAGTGCCAAGGATCTGAGTAATGGGGAAGTATTGGACAACTGCACCCCACAGCCAGAGAAAAGAGATGCTGGGGTTCTGTATGTGGGATTTCACCACTGTACAGAACAAGGGTGACCCTAAGGAGCAGAGGGTGGGGAGCATGGTCCAAGCGGCAGGACAGTCACGTGGGGGCAGGGGGGCCCAGGATACACTCTAGAAGTAAGCCTTGTTGTCTACAGTCTTCTTCTCAAACTTTTGCTTGAGCTCTGAAACCAGAGCTGACTTGATGGGGCTTCCCAATGCCTTTGGCTTCGGTGACCACTGGGGCTGCCGGGAGGCCAGTGAGCCTGAGACTGTAGGCACCGTCCAGTGGGCAGCGCCCATGGTGGGCAGCACTCTGGGTGGAGGTGGGGGAGCTGGGGCTCTGGGGGGCAGTGAGCTCCCCAGCCTGTTGTTGTTGCAGTTCTCATTGGAAGCATCCTCTCTGAGGGCAAACTTGGCTGCAGCCTTTGCCCTCCTGAACTTGAGCCACTCAAGGTGGACAGTGCGGGACGCAGGGCTGGGCCGCTGGCGGAGCACGCGCCGCACAGGCAGGACTTTGTTGGACTTTTTGTTGCGCCAAAAGGTGGCAGTGGAGATGAGCACAGTTATGGCCACGACAATGGCCATGATGCCAGCCAGCACGCCCACGGCCTTCATGGGGTTGTCTCTGGTCTGCATTAGGAAGGCGGCCATGGGACCCCGAGACAGCATCTGGAAGAGAGAACCACCCCCCTGCATTCAGTGGTTCCCGCGTGGTGTCCGAGGACAGAGTCCAGGCTGTGAGCCTCCCTAAGCCTGATAGTCCCTAACTTTCTGGGGCCAGGTGTCCCTTTGAGAATCTGAGGAGCACTATGGACTCCTCAGCAGCCAACAGTGCACACCTGGAGAGCATGATGCACACACCACTCCAGGAAAATGCAAACAGAGAACACAGTGTGTACAGCTGTCCAGGAGAGGACACACAGATGGACGTGATGCCCACAACCACGTTCAGACTGAGATCGCCTGCTCTTGCAAGACTAAGCTACTGCTTCACCAGCTGTGTTGACTCAGGGCAACCCCACGCGTGTCAGAGCAGAACTGTGCTCCGTAGGTTTTCAATGACTACTTTTCACAAGTAGATCACTAGGCCTTTCTTCTGAGATGCCTCTGGGTGGACTCGAACGGCAAACCTTTTGGTTAACAGCCAAGCATATTAACTGTACCACCCAAGGAACTTGTCCTCCCGTTTGTATCAGGAACCCCTTAAGTGCTGGCTTTCTGCTGGGTATTGAGCTGAGAACTACACATAATGATTTTACCTTTTTCTTTCAACATCCGTGTGAAGGAGGCTGCATAATTCCCATTTTATGGGAAAGGAGATGGAGGTTTAGCAAAGCCCAGAGTCACACAGTCAAGAAAACTAGATTCCAACCCAGGTCCTCTGATTTCAAAGCCTGCATGTTTAACAGGCAGTCTTTGCTAGCACTGACGGCCTTCTGAAGGAAGGCTACAGATGACCTATACTCTCTGGCCCTCCTGCCCCTGCCCTGGTCTGGGCTCTCCACCCACCTCGGCGTCTGTGATGTCAATCCTGAGCAAGGCTGTGGTACTGAAGGAGGGGGAGCCGCGGTCCTTGGCCTGCACCTCAACGGACCACAAGCCGTCCCCACCGGGAGTTACGTTGTGCAGTGCGTCCAGGGAGCGGATGAACTTCTTCAGCCGGATCTCGCCTGTGTGCACGTCGATGTCGAATACGTTGGCTGGCTCCGCGTGGGTGATGGAATAGTCCACCAAGTTGTTGGGCTCCTCTGCGTCCTGGTCTGTGGCCTGCGGGTAGGGAGGGGTAGATGGGCTGGGTTTTGAGGACTCCGTCTTGTGTAAGTTGGCTAAGGCAGCACCTCCCATGGGGCTGGCTAAGTGGATGGGAAATGGGAGGGAATGGATTGTCTGCCCTCCTCAGAGTCAAGGCCCTAGACACATGCAGTTACCCTAGTCTATCCTCAGAACATGTCTGGGAAGTAGGTGTTGTTCAGTCCACACTGTAGTTGCAAAAACAAAAGCACGGGGATGTAAGTGACTTGTCCAAAGATACGTAGGTAGAAGGAGGGGGAGCTGGGATACAAAGCCCAGTCTGTCAGGTTTCAGAGTTTGATTTTTCCACTGAGGGGATAAAGGGGGCAAAGCGCTGGCTTTGGAGGCAGGCCGGCAGCTACGGGATGAAGGCAACTGAACGTGGAAATCGTCTGTCCTCAGTGTTCTCATTTGTAAAGTGGCAATAATGTCTTCTGTCCCAGAGGTTATTTCTGGGTTGGATAGAGAGTGCAATACATAAAGTAACTTGCACATGGTAGAAATCATATATATGTATATAAATACATGAATATTTATATCAATGTGTATCGATATTTATACAAATGTACATAAATACATGTGTTTAATTTTTATGCCACAATTCCTCTTGCAGCCACTGAAAGAGGGCTTTTAGGGGAGAAAGCCCTCCTGACCAAAGAGAGCTAGCTGCCTTTGAAGCCCACCTCAATTTTCAGTGGGGTCCCTAGCACCATGGTCTTCTCCTGGATATTCTCTGCAAACTGGGGGTAGTGGTCATTGACATCCAGTAGAGTGATGAACACCTCGGCCAGGCTGTACCTGCCCTCCAGGTCTTCTGCCTTCACGTAGAAGTTGTACCTGGCAGTGGCCTCAGCATCCAGGCTGGCCCAGGGCTGGGTGTAGATGATCCCAGTGGAGGGGTGGATCAGGAACCTGCCAGGCACAGAGTGCACAGAGCCTGCAGGCATGTGTGTGTGTGCACACACACTCATACACATGCACGTGTGCATCCATGACGTGTGCACACATATACTCACATGCTCGTATATACACACACATATCCATCACATACACACATGCTCACACACATGCACACAAATGCACCCTCCCCCCTCCACACACACACACACACACACAAACACACACATGCCTGCATTAATGAGCTGCCTCTGGGAAGCAGCAATAGGCATCATGCAGCTTCTCCAAGGTTCCACCTGCTCCTCTCCCTATTCCTTCAGACTGACTGAGGGAAGCAGATCACCCATCTACTCACCCACCCTTCAGTATTTAGTTTAATAGCCCAAATTGAGCCCTGCCACCCCTCCCATAGCCTGCCCCCTTCCAGCCCAGCATTGCTTGCTTCTGAGCCCTGGGCCCTAGTCCAGCCGTGATGATAACCCCTCTTGTCTCCCACTTGCAGACACCCCCAAGTGCATCCACAGTTCTGCCCAGACACCCCACTACTCCCCTCCACTCCTTGCCCTCATGCTCGCCTTCCCAACCCAGGCTTTGGCCCTGCCAGCTTCCTCCTGCATTTGACCCAGATCCCTCTACTCCCAGCCTCCCAAATCCCTAGCCTGGGGCTCTGTTCTGGCTTCTGGCTCTACTTACAAGTTGGCCCCGGTCCCATAGATGGAGTATTTGACTTCGCCCCAGGGGCCTGTGTCTGGATCTACAGCCTGAAAGAGAGAGAGCCCCAGTGGCACCTGTCTCTTTATCTGGGCACAGCGGCAGCCTATGTGTGAGGGCTGCTTTCCTCTGAAAAACAAGGGGAAATTGGGGTGCCCAGCAGGCGGGGAAGCTGATCTGGAGGCCTGCCCTAGAACCCTCATGCTCCTCCAAGGAGTTCTCAAGTGTTGGAGGAATCAAAAGATTTAGATATGAAAAGGCATTTATTCCTCCTTTATAAATGGGGAGAAACAAGGTATAGGGCCCATGCCCTGTGCTCGGCATCCTTGTTACAGTCCCGTCACAGAATCCCCATTCTACAGATTAAGAAGCTGAGGCTTAGAGAGGCTAAGTAGCTTGTCCAAGGACGCAGCTAATGAGTATGGGCTTTGCAACTTGAACCAAAGTTTGTCTGACTTTGCAAGGCCACACTTGATCTATTCTACCCCTTCAGTGGGCACCCAACCCTCTCCCCAGTCCCTAAGACAGTCTTCAACCCACTGTAACAGCCACCACGTTAGAGCTCCCTGGGGCATTCTCGGGGATCCTGGCAACGTAGAAGTGGGAGGTGAACTTGGGGGCATTGTCGTTGGTATCCAGGAGCTGGATCACCACATCCGCTGTGGAGCTGAACTTCTCTGGGGTGTTTACCTCGATGGCCAGGAGCTGGGGAAGGAAGGAAAGCAGGGAGGTGTCTGTGAGGCCATTGTCCTGCGGTGAGCCTCCCCATCCCGTGTCCACAGAGCTGGCCTGACACCTACTGCCTTGTTGCCCATTCTCGGCTGCAGAATAGCCACCATGGGCAAGGGTATCATCTAAGGTATGACCTCCTGTCATTTCGGAACTCAGTGCTAGCTTTTCCCTAACACAGCTTCCCCTTCTCCAGGCATTGACTAACATCTCACTTTCCCCAGTGACATACAATGCCATATTTTTTACGCACTAAATTTCCATTTGTATTTGAGTCCATTTCTTTTGTCTTTCCTAGTCCCAATTTTAAAACTGCTTTGCTTCATAATATAACTTAACATCTGTTAGAGCAAGTTCCTGCCTCATAGTCTTTTTTTCCCCCCAGAAGTTCCCTGTCTATTTTTGTAAGTCTATTTCTCCAGACAAAAAGCAGTATTAATTTTTTCAAGCCCCGTTCTAACCTCCCCCAAAAAATTCTGGGTAAGATTTAATTGGGGTGCCATTGAATTCTTTGTTAATTTAAGGAAACTGAGTTTTTTTTTTTTAACAAGTTATGCTTTTATTGTATTTTATTTTTTGGCCTTCTTTATACTGCTTTGTGAAATTTTGCATTCCTTGTCTTTAGATAATGCATATTTCTTGTCATGGTAATTTATCATGATTTTATCTTTTAGTTGTAATTGTAAGAGAGAATCTTTTTATCCATTATATTTTTTCATTGCTGTTTTTCTGTATGTAGGAAACCTATTGGATTTTGTGTATTAGCTTTCTAATAAGTCGTGTTAGCAGTTTTGCTATGTCTCTAACAGTTTTTCAATCGTTTCCCTTCGGTTTTCTAAGCAAACAATCACATCACCTACAAATAATGATGTTTTTGTCTCCTCCTTTCTAGTGTTTGCACCTCTTATTTCCTTCCTTTATCTAACTTCACTGGGTACGTTTCCAGGAGTCCTGTTAAACAGCAGTGGGGATAGCAGGCATCCATGTGTTGTTCCCAACTCAGAATGCTTTTAGTATTTCACTTTTAAGCATGATGCTGGCTATAAGTGTGCATGTATATACAATTATAACGAATTATAACAATTTAAATAATATTAATCAAGTATTTATGTTTGCTGGAGTCCTGGTGGTGCAGTGGCTAAGAGCTACGGCTCTAACCAAAAGGTCAGCAGTTCATATCCACCAGCGCTCCTTTGAAACCCTATGGGGCAGTTCTACTCTATCCTATAGCGTCGCTATGAGTCAGAATCAACTCAATGGCTATGAGTTTGGTTTGGTTTTTTATGTTTACTATTAGTACATTAGGAGCCCTGGTGGTGCAGTGGTTAAGCACTCGGCTGCTAACTGAAAAGTCGGCAGTTTGAACCCATCAGTGGCTCCTCAGGAGAAAGATGTAGCAGTCTGCTTCTGTAAAGATTCCAAAAAAAAAAAAACCCAAACCCGTTGCCATCGCGTCGATTCCAACTCATAGCAACCCTACAGGACAGAGTAGAACTACCCCCATAGGGTTTCCAAGGAGCAGCTGGTGAATTCGAACTGCCAACCTTTTGGTTAGCAGCCTAATGTTTAACCACTGCACTACCAGGACTCCCTTCTCCCTTGGAAACCCTATGGGGCAGTTCTACTCTGTTCTATAGGGTCACTACGAATTGGAATTGACTTGATGGCAATGGGTTTGGTTTTTTTTTTTTGGTATTACATTACTTGTACATTAAAAATAATACACATTATTTACATATATTTGTAATTTTAAATAATGACAAATAATATCAAAGAAATATTTTCTCCTATTCTGCCGATGTTTTCATCAGAATACATGATAGATGTCAAAAGACGTATGAGAAAACATCCATCTTGATAAGCAGATAGTTTTCCTTTGAACCCCCTTGCATTCCTAGGGGTAGTGGCTGTTTAGAAGCTGAGGAGTTCAGTGAGGCTCTGTCTACCCCTTCTTTCTCTCCCCTCCCCCTCCTGCTCCTTACATTGGGCACAGGAGTAGGACCAGGGGGCCAGGAGTGAGAGGGGATGAATCTAGCCACTGGTCTGAGCTCCTGGGCCCCCCTAGGGCAGCACAGCTCCCCCTACCTTGAAGGTTAACACTTTGGACGTTTCAAAGTCAATGGCAGCCGAGTTCTCCACAATGATCGTGACTTGGGCTTCATTCAGGACTGTCTTGGGGACCACTCGGAAGATGCCTCCAGGTCCCACCAGCCGCAAGTTAAATTTGGCATTGGCTCCCTGGGCAATAGAGTTTGGAGAGAGAAACGGGAAAGATAAATGGGAATATAAACTTTTATTACACATTTGTGCTAAGCAAGGAGCCTTCATATAAGCTTAACCTGGGAGGTGTGTCATTACCTCTTTCTATAGGTGAGAGGATCAAGGGTCCTAGCCAGTTACAAGGGTGTATCAAGGCTATCAACCTCCTAGCCAGTTATAAAAATGAAGTGAAATAACAAACGCACAATACCGGGCCCCATGCCTGGCTGAGAAGTGACGAGACACAAACTCTTGCTCTGTGGGCCAGATGCAGAGCTCTTCTTGTTTGATTGGGTTTTCGTTTCTAATTGGTTGTGAATACCTTTAAGCTAAGCAAAGAGTCTTTGATGAGCTGCTCTCCCACCTCTCCCTCTTGGCTATACCCTCTGACTTCCTTCATTGTTGTTACTTGCCTGGCCCCTGTGACACAAATGAAGGCTGACACAGAGGCAGGTAGCTTTGGGCCCTGAGACATGTGTGGGCAGGCAGGGCAGAGGACAGGGCCACACACCTGGTCTGAGTCGTTGACGGTGATCTTGAGGCCCCGCAGGATCTCGCCCTGGGGTGGGTGCTCGTACATGGACAGCTCAAACCTGTCCTGGGGTCCATTCTCTCCATAGAATGTTGGGGGGTGATTGTTGAGGTCCACGACCCTGATGGTGACTGGGACCATGGCGTGGGCAGCTGGGTGCCCGTCAGAGCTGACCTCAGTCACCTGGGGGGGAACAGGGGCTATGGCTGTATGGCAGGTAGACTCTAAGATGCCCCAATGGTCCCCACTCGTAGTTTTAGTGCCCTTGTGTAGTCCCCTCTCTTTAAGTGTGGGCAGGCCTAACAACTTGTTTCTAACCAGTATGGTGAAAGGGGTAAGATATCACCTTATGATTAGGTTATAAGAGACTGAAGCTTCCATCTTGCTAGCAGAATCTCTCCCTTGCTGGTACTGATGAAGCAAGCAATTACATTGGAGAGCCCAGGTGGCAAGGAACTGAGTGTGACCTCTAGCCAACTGCTAGGAACTGAGGCTCTTATTCCAACAACCCGTAAAGAACTGAGTCTTGCCAACAACCATGTGAGTCTGGAAGAGAATCCTTCCCCAGTCGAGCCTTCAGATGAGACCCAAGGCCTGGCTGACAATTTGATTGCAGTTATTGCAGACCCTGAAACAGATAAGCTGGGCCTAGACTCCTGACCCACAGAAAATGGGAGATAATAAATATGTGTTATTTTAAGCTGCTAACTTTGTGCAGCCAGGGCCAAGAGTCCATATGCATCTCCTCCATGGGAACCATGTGGCAAAGATCATAAACCCTCTTGAAGGACCTCCTTTCCCTTGTTCTACAAGCATGCTCTGGTCTTACCTACCCTAAAAAGACCCTCCCAGGACCCCACTACCCCACACCACTCTCCCTTCTCAGAAGCCTGTGACAGCCATTTCCACATCTTATGGCCCACTTGGTTCTCACCCACACCTCCAACTCAATGGAGGACATGCCACATTGGCTTGCTTCCACACTGCCCCTCCATGGCTGTCCTCTTTCGCCTTCTCAAGGGCTCTATTCCCTTGACCAGTGTGGCTCTACTCTCTGCAGGTTCTTCTTGATCTCTGACCTCCTTCACCTGTTCCTCCTCCCACAGCTATGTGCTGGGCCAACCACTCCTCTCTCCCTGCAGCCATCCTCTGGTTGACCTCACCTCTCCTGTGGCTTTCACAACTATCTGTATGTTGACCCAAGTATCTCCCCCAAGTTCCAAACTTATATACCCAAGTTTGAACATTCGCCTTGCATGCCCCAAGGGCCAAGGCATCCACACTCACCATGCCCTTCCGCTTAACTTGTCTTCTCTCCCGCGTTCCCAACAGCAGGAACCACCCAGGCTTCCTCCACCCACTCCTACTTCTCAGCGGCAGCGAATTGCATGTTCTCTGAAGTATGCCTCCTTAATATTTTTCAATTTGTCCATTTCTGCCATTCCACCTTCCTTCACCCTCGCAGTCCCTCTTGATCTATCCTCTTGATCAAACGCACTGCCTCCCAGCCTCCAGCCAGTTCCCTCCACAGCCTAGTCTGGATCACTGGTTCTCCAATGCCAGGTTGGGACTGGTGCCAGGATCTCAGATGCACCTGGTCTGGTCAGATCTCCACGGCCAGGCTGGGAGTTTGTAATATGCACAGTCCTGGGCTTATCCCAGATACACGAAATCACTATTTTCCAGAGTGGGCCCTGGAAATCATTATGTATCAAACTCATCAAATCTGGAAACCCAACTGGCCTGGTTGGCAGCCAGAATGAGCTGTGCATCATGTGATTCTAATCCTGCTCAAAACCTTTCAATGGTTCTTTATTGCTCTTGGGAAATAAATACATAATTTGTGAGATTCAGTGCATGATGAAAATGAGGGGCCCCTTGTTCAAAAATTAGGAATGCCAGGATGGCGACAGCAGAGCAGTAAGCCCAGTGCAGGACCCTCCTGTGTGGAGGCTGCATGCGCACGAAGCCAGCCCTGCTACAGGAACAGCCCAGAGTGCTCATTCAGGGCCTGAGCTCATTAGGCTCCAGTCTCGGAGCCAACCTTTCCTCCTTCTACATGTGACCATGGACTCTTCTTTCCGGTCCCACTCACCCTTGATGTCCCCAGATCCATCCTGTGCTCTCATTGAGATGGACTCTCCTGGCTTTCATAGTTGGGAAGGTCTCCACCCCACCCACCTCCCTTTTCACCAGCTCCACCTGTGTGGTCCTGCCTACGCTCAAGGCACTGCTTCACTCCCACCCCTTCTGCCTTTTCACAACTCTCTGGTTGTGGAATCTTGTCTCCCCACTCCAGGGGCTTGGTGTGCATCTGTGCAGCCTCCACACAGGCACCTGATATAGGTGCTTCTGGGACAATGGCTAGCCCCTCCCCAGACTGTGAGCTCCAGGGCCAAGGCAGCCCTCCAGGGCCAGGTGGGGCTCCCTGGAGTGGAGTAGATGCTCCGATAGCACTGGTGGAGATGAGAGTTGGAAGTGAAACTGTCAGGAGGAGGGTGGCAGGAGCATTTTCTGTGGGGTACTCTCACTCTAGGAAGGGGAAGCCAGCACCACTCAAAGGAACAGCCAGTGAGGGGGTGGGGGTGGCAGGGAAGGGCATGCCGGAGGGAGGGTACCTGTACATGCAGTTCATACACCTCTTTCCGGAGCTGGGCAGGGCTCTGCGCGACCAAGATGGCTCCAGACGTCTCATTAATTTCAAAGGCTCCATCGCTCCCTGTCACAGACCAGAGATGCCCCCTGCAGTTCTGCACAGGCCACAGCGGGCAGAGGGGAGCTGTGCCGGGCTGGGGGCCACCTGCTCTTCATGCATTACTATCTTCTCAAAGTTTCCTCTATAGAGTAAGCCCCTGGATTATGAACATCTGAATGACAGACAACCCGTGTTATTGTTGTTGTTAGGTGCCATTGAGTGGGTTCTGACTCATAGAGACGCTATGTACAACAGAACAAAACACTGCCCGGTCCCACGCCATCCTTACAATCACTGCTATGTTTGAGCCCCTTGTTGCAGCCACTATATCAGTCCATCTAGTTGAGGGTCTTCCTCTTTTTCACTGACCCTCTACCTTACCAAGCATGATGTCCTTCTCCAGGGACTGGTCCCTCCTGATAACATGTCCAAATTACGTGTGATGAAGTCTCACCATCCTCGCTTCTAAGGAGCATTCTGGCTGTACTTCTTCCAAGACAGATTTGTTTCTTCTTCTGGCAGTCCATGGTATATTCAATATTCTTCACCAATGCCACAATTCAAATGCATAAATTCTTCTTCAGTCTTTCTTATTCATTGTCCAGCTTTCACATGCATGAGGCGATTGAAAATACCATGGCTTGTGTCAGGTGCACCTTAGTACTCATTTGCTTTTTAACGCTTTAAAGAAATCTTTTGCAGCAGATCTGCCCAGTGCAATAGTCCTTTGATTGCTGCTTCCATGGGTGTTGATTGTAGATCCAAGTAAAATGAAATCCTTGACAATTTCAATATTTTCTCCGTTTATCATGATGTTGCTTATTGGTCCAGTTGTGAGGATTTTTGTTGTCTTTATGTTGAGGTGTAATCCATACTGAAGGCTGGAGTCTTTGATCTTCTTCAGTAAGTGCTTCAAGTCCTCTTCACTTTCAGCAAGCAAGGTTATGTCATCTGCATATCGCAAATTAATGAGTCTTCCTCCAATCCTGATGACACATTCTTCTTCATATAGTCCAGCTTCTTGGATTATTTGCTCAGTATACAGATTGAAAAATTATGTTGAAAGAATACAACCCTGATGCACACTTTTCCTGATTTTAAACCATGCAGTATCCCATTGTTCTGTTCAAACAACTGCCTATGTACTGGCTCCACATGAGCACAATTAAGTGTTCGGAATTTCCATTCTTCACGATACTTGCCCTTTAATGTTATGTAAATTTGCCCTCAGTTTGAAACAATTGAACCAACCCCTACTAGCAACAAATTCTTCATCATAGTCACCTTCATTTGCTGTACTTGCCAGCTTTTAAATCATTGAAAAGCCTTCCAGCCTTTTCTTGCTCTGAAGTACAGTTAAATAAGAACCATATGCACTTGTTCTGACTTACCTACAAATTTGACTTAAAGACACAGTTAGAAACAGATCTTTTCGTAACCTAGGGACTGTCTGTACTATTGTCTGTGCTTTGCCAGTGAGGAAATCGAGTCTCAGAGAGGTTAAGTAGCTAAGATTATACAGTAAGTGCAGAGCTGAGTCTTGAACTCGCTTCTGTCTAGTTCCATACTGCTTCCCTTCTCTTATGCATGGTGCTGCATGCATGCACACACGTGTGTGTGTGTGTGTGTGTGTGTGTGTGTGTGTGTGTGTGTGAAAGAGAGGGAGGAAGAAAGACACAGAGGGAGGGAGAGAAGGAAGGGGAGGGAGGGAGGGAAGAGAGGAGAGAGGGAGTGGAAAGAGACTAGAGAGGAGTGAGGAGAGAGAGAGAGATGAGAAGGTCGAGACAAGGACAGGAGGAGAGAAGAAAGGAAGGGGAGATGGGATGGGGTAAGGTGGGTTATTTGTACTTATGTACAGTTTTGCAGTGATGGTGGGGAGGGTAGGCATTTAGGGTCCGAGTGCCCAGGGAAAGGAGCTTGTGTGATGGTGGGTTTGTTCCAGTGTGAGTTGCTGGAGAGCAAGTATGTCCAGGCATGTCCTGGGGACAGGGTCCGGTAGGTGGTGGTTCTGGGTGAAGCATGCAGACGTGTGCATGTCTGGGATCGGGCACCAGGTGTGATGGCCTGGTGCTGTAGGGAACAGCTACCCGAGGTACATGGCTCAGTCCACTCAGTTATTGCCCAGTTATGGAAAGAACATGGACTCTGGAGCAAGCAGACTTAGGTTCAGATCCAGTGGTGGGAACTTGGGATGCCCATTTTGCTTCTCTGAGCCTCAGTTTTCTCATCCATACATAGGACTTGTACTAGGGAGATGCCACATCAACACTGCATTTAATTCATTTAATTCAGCTATCTGCTCTAGGCCAAAAGATTACAAAGAAAGAGAAAAATCATAGCAATTTAGATAGCGTTCAAGGAATGTCACTGCCCATTCTCATCAGTGAAGTCATGCCCAGGGCGAAGGGGTCTGTGAACCAGCTCCCCCTGGCTCACTCTGGGCCCCCTGTAGCCCTCCCTATTGTGGGACGCAATGACAAGGCGGGGGGACCACACACCCTAGAAGACTCACAGCCTGCTGGAAAGGCCTAGCCCCTCCTCTCCTTACAGGGGCCGTCCAGATTCTTACAGACAGGGAACTGGGACCTCTCTCTGGTTGCCCAGAGTCAGAGCAGCAGCGCAAGCGGCCTGACCCACCGTTCACGAGGCCGTAGAGAATGTGGTTGGGTTTGCCCCGATCTCCATCCATGGCCACCACAGTCAGCACCTCTGAACCCTGGGGAACAGGAGCAGCTGCTGAGGCTGGTGGGCAATGCTGGGTGCTCCCCTCCCCAGAGACTGCCCATCACTGGACAGAGTGTGGCCGTAGGAGCATGTCCCACCCACTCAGCTGGAGGGAGCTTGCTGGGCTCTTGTGGCTTCCTCACCCCACATGGGTTGGGCGAATGGGCTGCTCAGGGATGCCCCTACCCTCTCCCCACATGCCACACTCAGCCCTCCACCCTCCAGCCTCCTTGGCACCCCTCACCCACCTTTGGTTTTCATCCCACCCCAGAGGTCCGGGAAGAGGGAGTGGAGAGGCAGGTCAGAGCGAGTCACCACAGAGGGCCTCAAATGCAGAATTCGGATTTTATCCTATGGGGCCCAGGGTGCTGTTCAAAGATTTGGGGCAGGGGTGCCACAACACATGGCTACTTCTTGCCATGGTCCAAGTGCTGCTCCTCTCCCAGGAAGACTTTCCCCTGATTCTCTTTCTGCTCTTGGCTCCCAGCAGGACTGTCTAGGCCCCCTACCCTGCCTGCAGCCCCCACCCTGGTGGCCCAGCATTTCTCTCCCTGCTCTGTGCTGTCCCAGGCTGCCAGCTTCTGAGAAGAGTGTGTCTCAACACGTGCCAGCAATGGGAGGCGGCCTCGAAATGTTTTTCGTTGTTGTATAAAGTCAGGAGAAATCGGAAAAGGGAAGGGGAAGAATGTAACTCAGGCCCACAGAGAGAGCTGCAGCAGGGCCCTGTGAGGTGGGGCATGGCCTGGGCACGGAGGGTGGCTCCCTCCTGTCTCTGCACTTGGGAACCTTCAGTCTAGTTGTGGGGGAGGGCAGGGGGTTGTACCCGGAGGTGGATATGCTCATGGAGGGGCGTGTGTGCTTAGGGCACCTGAAATCAGAGGGCGGAGCTCCCACCTCAAAGACACCAGGGCAAGAGAAGCCTGACCTGGATTCAGAAGGCCAGGCAGCACAACACCTTCCAGGCAGGGGACGGGCAGTGTGGTGAGGCGGGTGGGATGCCTGGAGGACCGTGGGGGCTCCACAGGTAGAGGGGGCTGGGCTTTGGACACCAGGCTGAGGAGTGGGGTTCTGTGAGTTCTGGGGAGCCACTGAGGGGCCTGAAGACAGGAGTGCGCCCTGAAATTTGCACTGAAGGGGGAGGGGAGTTGAGGCCAGCCTTGCAGCAGGACTTGAAGTGCTGGGGGTGGGTGTCTCGGTGGTTCAGACAATCTCATCCTCGTGAGACTACAGCCTGTAGCTGACGTGGGGTGCAAGAAAGAGCTGCCAACCAAAACAGAGCCTCTCAGCTGCCTGCTGGTCTCTCTCCTCTCACTCAGCCCTCTGGGGTCTGCACTGGCTGCTAGGCTGTGGCAGGTCTGAACGATGGAGACATGCCTGGCCCAGTCCTGCCCGACACTAACACCTGCTGCAGACGCGAGTGTGCCCTCCTCTATATCCAGGACCTGACTAGCTGCCGCGAGTAAGCAGGGCCCCCAAGGACCTCGGAAAGTATGAGGACGAGGCAGGAGGCATCTGGGGGGACGCTAGGCTGAGAGGTGCAGCCACCCACCGGAAGGGTGTCCTCATACACGTAGCCGTAGTAGGGTGTGCCCACGAAGACAGGGGCCATGTCCTGGACATCCTCCACGCTGACTGTGATGGTGGTGGAGGCTGAGAACATGACGTCAGCCCCCCGGAGCCTCCCTCCGCCGTCCTGGGACAGGGTAAGAGGGAATGGGCTCTGGAGTGGGACATGGAGTTCGAGTCTAGCTCCAGCCACTGAATGCGTTTCTGCCTGCCTCGGTGTAAAGTGGAGATAATTCTCACCTCCGGGAGGGGTGGGGGGCTGGGGACCCTAAAGGAGCTGGTGTGTAGCGGTCTTTGATCGGTGCCTTTGGAAACAGGTTTTCTCCAAGGAATTCATGGCAGCACCAGTGGCAGAAGAGGAGGGTCAGAGCCACATTCCCACATCTCAGCTGGGACCCAAGCCTCAGACACCTCCCTGGGACCTACTGTGTGCTTGACCCCAGCTGGATGCGGCGTAGCCCCCCAGGATCTGACTGGGCCCTGCACCCTGAGAGGCTATGATGGAGGTGGCAGGCCAGCCAAGCCCCCCAGCAGCCGCTAAGCTGTAGTTCCACACCAGGCACTTTGAGAATACCATGGACTTAGTGAAGTGCAGAGCTGGGCAGTGTCACCCTTGCTTTACAGGGTAGGAAACTGAGGCTCAGGGGGGTGACTGGTCATACAAAGTGGAGGAGGTGGGGTGAGCCAGTCTGGTAAGGGAGATGGAGGCATCAAGGGCCAGGCAGGTCATGGGGGTGTGAGGGGACAAGGGTCTCCGGGCCAGCAGACCCCACGGAGATCCCCAGCAGGTGCTCCCCCACCCCTCTATGCTCCCTGCTCCCCAAACTACCCCCAGCCAATCTGGAACCTGTGTTCCAACCTGAGGACAGCTTCCCCTGACAAAGGCTGAGGCAGACAGACTGCTCCCCCATCTACCCCCTCTGTTACCTTGGCGACCACTGTGACAAAGTGGGCCCGGACCTTCTCGTAGTCCAGCGTGGTCCCCGCCCGCAGGCGCAGCACGCCGCTGTGGCGCTCCATAGCAAATTTGGTGGAGTGTGGTTTCTGCAAGGGTGAGAGCAGGTTGGGCCTGTGGATCCCCACTGTGCTCACCCAAGAGGGGACCTCACTGCCCCTCCTTCCAGGAACCAGGGTCCCCATGCTTTCTGACTCCCTGGATCCCCTTTCATGGGTCTCTGGGCTTCCCCTGCCACCCGCCCTCAAAATCAGGAACATTCCCTTCCAGCAGGGCCTCATCTTTTCTCTCAGCTGAAGAACAAATTGGGCTCAGGTTCCACCTGGAAGCTCCAGCAGGTGAAAAACGTCTGCATGTCTGCAAAGGGCCCTAACCTGGAGGGGTGGGGCTGAGAGCCAGGTGAAGGAGAGAATCCTAGGGACCTTCCACCCACACCTAGAAGTGGCTGTGGGACGTCCTAGGGGGCATCGAGGGGGAGGTTCAGGAGATGACGATGACTCTGACAAAAGCAGGTGAGGAGACCCTGCAGGAGGTGGGTGGGTGGAGGGATCAGCCAGGTGCCCTCATAGATGCTTTATGCATATTTAATCCTCACAACAATGCAAAGAGGAGGTGCTTTTGTTATCCCCTTTTGCACAGGAGGAATCTGTCTTAGGAAATTAAATAAAGGTCACAGGAGCAGCCAGTGCCAGGATCTCGCCAGAACTCCTGGCTTCAGGGGACTTCTCCAAAGCTTGTGTCTGTAGCCACCGAGGGCTACTACGTTGAAAGTTGTGAGTTCAGATTAGATGTGAAGAGAGAGTGAATGTTACAGAAACAGCCGCCCTGAGGGAGTGAGGCTGGTTCTGGGGAGCCAGGGAGGGGCCAGAGGTACAGGGAAGGGGCCCTGGCTTATGATGGGGTGTGGGTTGGAGCTCTGGCTCCTTCTGGGAGTTGCCCCCCATGCCCTTTTTCCTGCTCACAGTTCTAGGCCCAGGCAGGTTTTGTCCATCTTGGGTGGGTACACCTGGCCTTCTCTGGCGGAAGAGGCTAGGGATCTGAGAGACCTGGACAGAGGGAAGGAGCAGACCACCTGCCAGACAGCCCAGATGGACCAGTCAGGGTAAGAAGGCTTCTGCCTCATCTGTTTACCCTACCCCTGTGTTTCTGAGACCCTTTAGGGATCACATGTGGCATCTCTGAAAATCTTTGGGAACAGCAGAGGAGCTGACCTGAGGGCCTTGGCGATGGAGATAGGGGCTGCCTGGTGTCCCTTCTAGCCTGGGGCCTCTGGTTACATCCTGTGTGTCCCACCTTACCTGCAGGAAGTAAGTGACACTCCCTCCAGAGCCTGTGTCCCTGTCCACTGCATGGACCTTAAAGATGCTGTTCCCAGCAGGTGTGTCCTGAGGAGTCACAGCCACAGCAGGGGTCAGCCAAGGGCAATGGCAGGAGGCTCAGACAGCTGGGGGACCATGGGAGGTGGGGTGGGTTCAGCAGGGGGAAGGGTGAAACAGAAGGGAAAGGCAGTGCTACAGCGGGAGCCTCCAACGGGGGGAGGGGCCACAACCTAGGAGCCAGGGAGGATGTGGGAAAGAGGGAAAATAAAAAGAGACTGAGAGCTACTGGAGGAGTGGCCTCAAGAAGAGAGAGGGAGGAAATGCCAGGACTGCAAATAGATGAGGGTTTAAAATACAAAAGACAATTCACAAAGGAGAAAATGGCCAATAAACATGGGAATACTCATATCACCAGGAATTACCTACGTACAAGTTAGAGCAAGAAAGAAACAGCTTTATCCTGCTGAATTAGCAAAGATTTAAAGACTTGGAGACTCCCCAGTGTTGGCGAGGGATGCAGGGGACAGAGCAAACAGGGGTCGCTCTGGAAAGGTGATTCAGTCATCCCTCAGGGGCACTCATACTTTTTGACCCAGAAATTTCAAATCTTGGGCTGTGTCTTAAGGAAATAATGCTAATTAGAGAAAAAAATGATGCTCAGAATTTTGGTATTGTTCATGGTAGCAAAAATGTAAAAAAAAAAAAAGACAACAACCAAACCCGTTGCCGTCAAGTCAATTCCGACTCATAGCGACCCTGTAGGACAGAGTAGAACTGCCCCATAGAGTTTCCAAGGCTATAATCTTTACAGAAGCAGACTGCCACATCGTTCTCCTGTGGAGCTACTGGTGGGTTTAAACTGCTGACCTTTCGGTTAGCAGCTGAGCCCTTAACCAGGGCTCCTTGCAAAAATGTAAAGCAAACTAAATATTCATACATAAGGGAACAACTCAGTAAATGCTGCAATGTTCCTTTGATGGAAGCTATTAAAATGATAGTTATTCAAACTCTACAATGATGAGGAAAATGCTCATATTGCATATTAAGTGAAATACAGAGCACAAAAAAGCATATGTTTAGTATAGTTACAATGATGTAAAACAAGTGGAAAACAAAATCCTATCATTACAAAAAAGACTAGGAGAGACACCAAAATTTAACAATATTATCTTAAGTTAGAGAGATTGACAGTGACTTTTTAAACTTTTTTCTATTTTTCTGTATATCTCACTTTTCTACAATAAACTCGTAGATATTAGTACTATGATGGAGAATAGTAAACAGACATTCCTTTGGAACAGCAATGACAGTGTAAGGGGGATGGTGACAGGTGAGTGGGGAGGAGGGGGCCCGGAGGGGAGGCCCTCTCCTGAGGGGCAAGTGATGGGGAGACACGCCCACTCCACTCTGGGTGCTTATGCCAGCCCGTGGGCTTAGTGGGATGCATCGGTCTCACTCACCTCGGGAACCAGAACGACATATGGCTCCTGGATGAACCTGGGCGCCTCATCATTGGCATCAGTCACCAGGATCACAACTTTTTCTGCCACCTGAGAAAGGGCAGAGGGGACAAGGATTGGGGCAGTGAGACCCTCTAATGCTCCCAGATATATGTCTCTGCCCTCCTTACTTCTCTTCCTTCTTTTATTAATTCATGCACCAAATATTACTAAGAGACTACTTGATGCCAAGCACTGTGTTCAGTCCTGCAGACGAAGAGATTAATGGTGTGCATTTTGCAGTGGTGGTGGTGGATGGGAGAAGGGGCGAAGACAAGCAGATAGCAGGGCAGTGTCATCCAGGGTGATGGGGTAACAATAGCCTTACGCCAGGCTCTGCGGGCAGGGCCTCCGTGGACACCGTGGCCCAGGTGTGAGTGCCTAGTTGAGGAGGCTGTGTTCAGAGGCTAAGCCTGTGGGGATCGGTGAAGCTCCACAGAGGAAGTGAAAATGAAGCCCGGTGGCAGTTTCCAGGTAAAGAGGAACGACATGGAAAGGTGTTCCAGGGAGACGTGGGAAGTGCCGTGAGTTCATGGCTGGATCATAGGGTGGTGAGGGACAAAGGGTGAGTGCGGCAGACAGACAGGTGCCCCACGGGAGGCCAGACTGAAGCTTGGGTTTCTCCGAGGGCAGTGAGGCCAGCTGTTAGTGCTTTCTGTGCCCAGGGGTGGCCAGATGTCTGCTCTACCTCCTGGGCTCTGGGAGCAGGTAGAGGTGGATGGGGGTGGAGCAGACAGGAGGCAGGGGAGCCCCTGGGGGGCATGTTGCAGTTATCCAGGGAAGTCTTGAGGAGGGTTGGGGGAAGTAAGGGTTGGGGGGAGGAGGTGAGGAAGGAGGAGGGGCTTGGGTGCCCAGGGGTGCAGTGGGTGACTGCACAGAGCCAAGAACCAGGTCAGAGGTAGATGGGAGAACAGGTTTGAGAAGACTGAGGAAGGTGGGTTAGACCCATCAGGAGCAGAGCTGACAGATCTTCGTCGTCTCCCCATTTCCTCTCCCTTCGTTCCTTTTCCTTGTGGCCTCCCTGCAGCTCCCTCCTGTGGGCTCTCTGGGGCAGACAGTGCTGGGCCCTGGCATGGGTTTGCCAGGGAGCACCCCAGGAGGTCTTGGGCAGGAGCTGTGCCTGGGGGCCACCTGCTGCCAGGGGCTGGCTCAGGTCTGCACTTACCTGATTCAGGCCATCGGAGATGCCGATGATGGCTTCGATCTCGTCCTCCCTCTGGAAGCACAAAGACCAAGTGAGTGTCCAGGGTCCTGATACCCCGTGGGGACCCCCGAGGCCTGGAGGGAGCTCTCCCTGCCCAACTGTGCCCATCACAGGAGCCCCAGAACAGGGTGGGCTGGTGATGGCAGCGTGCCAGGCATGGCCCAAAGCTGCCACCAACCCTGCTTTGTGTGGGGTTCTCATAAACCCAGAGGGGTTGCTGAGGCTCCAATAGAAAATGCTCGCCTGCTGGAGTGAGGAGAGAGCTAACCCTAAGTGCTGGGTTCCAGGAAGATTATTTCCTTTCTTTTCCTCTCTGTGCCACACACCAACCATCTTTTCCATATTCCACGATTCTGCAGAAGCTGTGGTGTCCCAAGTGCTCCCAGGACACGGCGGGGCCTCAGTGGGGGGGCGGGGGGTGCTGGAGTTCACCAGGTCCCTGTGAGTGCCAGGAGGCAGGTGTTGCAACCCCCTAACTGGCTCCAAGAATTTCCCTTGCCTTTCTCCACTCTGGCCTGGGCTAGTGGGTTCTGTCAGCATCCTAGAGCCGCTGCAGCTCCACAGCCAAGGTCCAGTGTGTGGCCAGCTAGGCCCACCCGCCTCATGTGGGGCCTTGGAATTGAAACACAGCCCAGGCCCTGTCACCCACAGACTCAGAGAGGTCAGAGGGGAGGGGTTTTGCCAAATTCAGGCCCATGCTCTGAACCCCTCCTTGCAGCCCTGAGTTTGCTGTGGACTACAGGACAGGTCAAAAAATCACTTTATGATGTTTCTGAAAGGCAAGGTGCAAACAGAATTTCTTTTTAATTGAACATGCTTAAAAAATTGGCAGGGCTGGCAGCTGCTCGGTACAGGAGCCCCGCTATTCATTCGGAAACTTAAGCCCCCTCCGCTGAGAGGAAGCCCCTTAGCGATCCCACTGATGGATCTGCCTGGGCAGCCCTCCCCTGTCCCCTCCAGGGGCTCCACAGAGGGTTTCCTGCAGGGGCTTGGGCCTCTCAGGGGATGGTCCAGCCACAGAGGTGTCTCTGTGCGCAGGGCAGGGGCAGGTTCCACCTCTCCCTGCCCTAACCCGTACCTCCCGGTCCAGCTCTTCAACCAGAGTGATGTTTCCACAGTTGGGGTCAACAGAAAAGATGTTTCTAGTGCTGGGGTCAAAGCTGATGTGGTAGGAGACGGGGTCTCCCTCGGGGTCTGTCCCGTTCAGTGTGTACACATGAGAGCCTGGAAAGGGACATAGGAGAGAGACCTAGAAGCTGGGACCTGGCTTTCCTAAAAGGACAGGCGCCCACAACAAAAGATTTGTTTCTAAAGTGAATATTCAATTCCCTGCCAAATGTGCAGCCCTGCCCTGCAGCTGCTTTCTCTTCTTATCTTTGCGCCTCAGACCCGTCGGTGAGATGCTGTCACCAGTGAGATGCTGTCACTAGCCACTTCACAGGTTGTAATCGATCATGCAGATTACAGAAGAGGTCCAGTCCCAGGGCCTCACTCCACTGCCTGTTGTTCCCTTTGGCGTGAATGACTCCAGTCCCAAGAGCCAAGACTGGGGGCTCCCAGGGCACGGGGGCCAGTGTAATAGGGAGCAGCCGTTAAGACAGAAGAAGAGACTGGGCAGAGGGCAGGGTGCAGCCTGGCGCCTCCATGCCTTCTTCTTCAGAGATTTCTGAACCAGGCACCTCTTCACTTCCCACATTCTTTCTTCTAGGCTCCCAACCCAACGGGATGGAGACAGGGCATGCAAATCTCTCTTTCTGTCTCTGTCTCACGGCATATCCCAGCAGGTTCCATATCCCTGGGACATTTTAGAGCCCAGAGATAGGCGGCTCAGGGAGGTAAGTGCATTTGTTCCAGGTCACACAGCTGACGGGGCAGCGCAGAGTCGTGTGCACAGCTGCCTGCCACCTAGGCTGGACCTCTGTCTAGGCCCGTGACAGGGCCTCCAGGACTTGGTCGGCTTAGGTCGCCATGGCAGCAGTGACCTCCTTTCCTGCCACTGCCCTGGGAAATGCACAGTGCAAACAGGGCACCCTGCGGGAGCAAGCTCGGCATGGCGCTCCTTAGGCTCGAAGGAGTCAGGGGTTCAGTCTCTACGTGCAGGAGAATGCGTGCCACCCCTTGGGGAGACTCAAGGGGGGGCCGCCGGCGCCAGAGCTACTGACCTACAGGAGTGTCCTCTGGGAGGCTGAACAGCGCCATGTTTCCGTGGGTGCTGCCGACCCCATTGTCAAAGAAGTAGGGGGCGAAGTTGGCCTGGGCTTGGAAGAGAACACAGACGGGAGAACAGACACCCTGACACCCGAGGGCCAGCTTCTCACCAGCCCACTCCTGGACAGGCGGGTGCTCCACCTCCCTGGCCCGAGGGCACCCAGGGAGGTGGCTGGGGCGCCAAGGAGAGGTCCCCCCCACCCACTGCATCTCTTGCGGTCATGGCCGGGGTTCGGGCTTGTCAGTGTCACACACCATCTGGGCGCTAGAAGCCAGGCAGGGGCCAATCCCACCCCCTTCAACAGGCAGACAGGGAACCGGTGCCCAGAAACGGGCAGTGCCCCTCCCAAGGCCACACCGCGAAGCGTGCCCAAGCAAGTGGGAAGGCGGCCCCCCTCCCCTGCCCCACGCAGCCATTGCAGCAGCCTCCACACACCCCTGTCCCGCCTGGGGAGTCAGTAGGGGTCCGGGGCAAGAGCCCCAGACTCCAGGGCACCAGGGTCAGGATAAGGGCTCCAGGAGCGCCCACTCCCTGTGGGGCAGCTAGGCAGGCGTCGGACCACCCGGCAGAGCCGACTCCCACTCTGCAAGTGCATGGTCCCCGCGTCTGCCCGGGAGCGCGGCGCGCGTCGCCGGCCCACGCCCGCCGGGCCAGGTGGCCACTCACCCAGGCAGAGGCGAAGCAGCCCCAGGACAACGGCGGCCCGCGGGACGCTCCTCATGTCTCCGCTGGCGGGTAGTGTCTCTCGCCACCGCTGAGCTGGCACAGGAGCACAGAGTGTGCCCCGGACCGCGAAGAGTGCAGAAACGACAGCGGAGGTGGCGGCGACGGCAGGAGGAGGTGCGGGGCGAGAGAGCCGGGTGGTGCCAGGGCTCTAAGAGGATTAGACGGCTCTGATTTGCGTGGCTGAAGAGCTCCTGCCGGCCGCCTAAAGAGACCAATTAGTGAGCGCCAGGCAGAAGCCCGGTTCCCAGCAGCGCAGGAGGGAGGGAGGCAGTGAGAGGTGACGAGGGTACTCCCTTCTCCCACCATGTCCCCTTTGCCCCGGCCTGGAGTGCAGGGGCCAAGAAGCCCCTTGATCCCCATGTAAGACTTGTGGATGGGGCAGAGTGTCTTCCCTGGGTTGCCCAGAGCGCAGGACGCTAGAAAATTGCGGCTTCCCAGGGTTCCCAAGTCCTAGCTGGAGGGGAGCTCCAAAGGAGTTTTCCTTTTCCATGAATATCCCTGTGTTGGCCCCAGCACCCCGAGTATAACAGCAGCAGGGAACCAGCCCAGCCTCAGACTAGAGGGACTGCCTGGAAGAGAAATGAAAGGAGGGGACCAAAGTGGGTGGGCCATTGCCCTGGAAATCCATATAGGTCCCAGGGACTGTGTCCCTACAGGCTTTGAGGGTAATACTATCGAAGAGGAGGTGAGGGGGCAGGTGGTCAGGGGTTTTCAGGACCCGCTCCTGGGGACCTCAGTCCATTCCTGCTCTCCTGTTCCAGGCCAGACCAGCCCTGAGGGGTCACTAGTGGGGTCCACAGGTGTCTCCACTAAGGAGAACACCTCAGAACATTAAAGTCAGGTAAGAGATGGAGGTTCCCAGGCTGGTGACCTTGGAGGGGAGCAGATCCACTCTCCGAGGCGTCCAGGGGAAGGTGAAAAGTTCCAGGGAAACTTTTCAGTCTTGAGATGGACTTGCTAACAGAGAGGTCCAAGACAGATGTGGACTGTCCCATGAGCGGTGAGCCCTCACTCCTGGAGGGCATATAGGCATTTGGGGGCCCTGGGTAGCTGACAAGGAGAAGTGGGTAAGCCCAGGGGCCTTCCTGGTTGCCGGTAACGTTCTCTGGGCCAGATCCCTCATCTGCTGGCTCTGACACTGGGATTTGGTTGGAAAGCAGCCTGTCTCCTTCCCTGGCCTGGGCCATTCTCAGGGGCCACAAAGCGGTCACTTGATGCCCTAGGGAGAGTGTGTCCACAGACAGAGGAGGCCCTTGTCTGCTCCTGGAGGGGCTTCCAGGGTAGGTCTGGGCATCCTCCCCAGAGGCCTGCTCAGGAGCAGTGACCCCCTCCCCCTGCTCTGGGCCAGGCCTCTGTGACCTACAGTTAGCAGGGGTCAGAGCTTTGAGAGGAGGAAGGAGAAGATGCATCAGTGGGTCCCAGTCAACCAAAACCCTTCTTGCTGAATCCCTTCAGGATTGCCCCTTTGGCTGAGAGAAAGCACTTTAAATTAGAAAGACATAGCAGCGTTTTTGCCTCACCAAGAGCTGGAACAAGTTCCAGAGAAGAGGAGACTGAAGCTGCCTCTATGTCACACAGCGAGCTGGAAGCAGAGCTGGGTTTCTCGTGGAAGGGTTTCCTTCTCAGTGTGCTAAGAGGAGCAGCCCTCCTGGAGCTGTCTGCCCATTTCCTCGCCAAGTGGTTCCAGGGCCTTTGACTTCTTTCTCCTTGGGTCACTCAGTCAACAGACTGTCACCAGAGAGGGACAGAGAAGCAGTCGCCATGTGCCAGCCGTGTGTGTGTGTGTGTGTGTGTGTGTGTGTGTGTGTACACTCTCATCTGTATTGTTTCATTTAACCAGCACAACCTCTCTTGGTGTGACTACCACTGCTCTGCAGAGAAAGGAGTTAAAACTCAAGAGAGGGTCAGTCACTTGCCCAGGCTAACACAGCCAGTGAGGGGCAGAGCCTGGGTTCACATCCAGCTTGAGATTGCTCCAGACAAAAGTGGAACTGTTTCCATGGCAGACGTAGACAGTCGGGAAGCTGCTGAAGTTCAGCTCCACAGCCTACGCGCTCACAGATTTCTTCCACAGTCCTGATTTTGTGTGTGCAGTTCTATATTCATTTTCTTAAAGAGACAGGGCACCCGTCCCACCCCCCACCGACAAAGTGTACAGAGTTCAGATCTGCTGGGGTGAACAACCGTCCTGGTTTTCCCGGGACTAGGGGGTTTCCAGAAATACAGCACTTTCAGTGCAAAAACCAGGAACATCCAGGGCCAACTGGGACAAGCTGGTCACCCAGTCTGCCCCTGTCCTCACAGCACCTGTGACCCTGGGGAATACCTGCACACCTGCCTCAGGAGATACTGGACAAAGTGCTCTCTGGGCTCCTTCTGGTGCTGAGGATGTGGGGAGCACCAAAACCAAACCCAATCCATTATCATCAAGTTGATTCCGACTCATAGTGACCCTATAGGACAGTAGAACTGGCCCCATAGGGTTTCTAAGGCTGCAAGTCTCTCCTGCAGAGTGGCTCATGGCTGTTGAGTTTAAACTGCCAACTTTTCGGTTAGCAGGTGATGACTTAACCACCGTGCTGCCAGGGTGGAGCACCAGGGTCCTGCTCTTCAGGCTCATCTTCCTGACAGCTCTGACCCAGGAGGGGGAAGGGTCAGGTCAACAGCTGTAGCAGGTCTCCAGCCCCCTGCTTCTGCCCCAGCTGTCTGGGGTTGGGAAGGATGAGACAGGCTGGCAGACTGACCTTCGCCTTTGTCCTTGGCATTCTGAGCTGCTCTGTCCAATTGCTAAGCACTAACAAAATGACTGCTCGTGATATGGGAACCCTGGCCTGGGGCGAGATTTGGTACTGAACATGGTGGCACAGGGTCAGGGGATCCCAGTGGACTGGAACGTGCCGACTGTGTGCCGAGTGTACCCTCTCTGCTCACGGCTATGTTGGCTCTGCCTACCCCAGCCTGCCTGAGGTCCTGGAGACTTTCTTCTGCAGGCTCTGGGCCAGGGTGTACCCATCTGCCTGCAAGCTGGCTGTCCCTCCCACAGCAGTGGGCTCTAGGGGTGGTGGCTTGGCTGTGGGTTCAGTGTTCCTGGGGAGCCCTGGACAGCCATCTACTCTGAAATGTGGCCTCTCCTCACCTTCCTTGCTGTGGTCAGGAGAGGTGCTAGGGTGGCTGCCTCAGATTCCCCTGTCGTAAGGATGGGATCTCTCCCCTATCTGTCTGAGGAACTGCCGTCCCCTTATTGGAGGGACTTTGCAGAAGCCCCAGGGCTGCCGTTTGTTCCCTGGACCAGGTCCCCACTAACCTTACCCACTAAACCTGACTCTGGCTGACTGCTGACTTTTTGTCATTGTGGCATTCACATGAGAAGCTAGGATCTATAGCACTGACATGGCCTGTTTTCACCCTATGCCTCATGGCTGAGCCTGGGTAAGGAAGACAGAAATAAAAGAATATCTCCCCCTCCAAAAACCTGTTTTAACTGGCATGCCACTGCCCCCAGGCAGAGCCAGACCCGACTTGGGGCCTAGGCAGAGCCCTTAAAAGACTTGGCTGTCTCCCTCAGGGGGCTATGAACCCATTTAGAGAAGAGGTCGTGATTCGCTGATTTATGCACAGGTGCTTTAGTACCAGCACAGGGCCTGGCACACAGTTGGTCCCCGGCGGGTAGTTGTTGACCAACTGAATGACTGAATAAATGAATGAATGAAGAGGCATTTGACAATGTCAAGTCTGCATGCCTTTAGCAAGCTCCTTCCCCACTGGTCCATACATTCACAGAGTGCAGTAGCCAGGTAAAAATTAAATGCCTGCTGGGCCAGGCAGGTAAAGAAAATGTGTGAAATGGCTGGGAGGAAGGCTATAGGGAGTGGTAGGGACTATGGCACATGTATAAGTGTTCACCTTCACAACATCTTTAAACATTGGGATCAACAAAGAAAATGATTGAATTTTGGAGCAGAGATGGACTTTTTCTGTGCTGACACCTTGTAATTTGGCACCTTCCACCCTTCTGGTTCAAACACTGCAAATCCAGGGAGGTAGTGCAGTTTTACTGAGGTTACACAAAAGCTAAGCGTCGAAGACCTTTTCCAGGGATGGAGCTGTTGCTAGTGAGTCCAGCCTCTGGAGCTGTCCACATGTTACCAGGCTGCTAGTAAACAGGCATGGTCTAGCCACTGCTGGGAGACCAGACAGGAGCACTAGACACACTCACATCCTGCAGGCTCTAGGATGCTCCCAAGGCAGGCAAATGCTGTACAGCTGGCAAAGGAGGCAAGGGGCTTCTCTTTATATATGATCTTTCTGGCCCTGGATTTGTAGTTCTAGCAAGATGATTTGCTATGCCACAATCTTGCAATGGGATTGGACAGTTTACTATGCAAATAAGGTGTATAAAACTCTTAAGGGGATTGGTCAATTACTATGCAAACCAGATGACTGTGGCTTACCTAGGGAATGGTTAGTTTTGTCATCATACTAAGCTTAAAAGGACCAGTCCCACAGATGTCAAGGGGGAACTCACTACCATCAAGAAGAAGAGCCAGGAGCAGAGCACTCCTGTTTTTTGGACCCAGGATCCCTGTGCTGAGAACCTCCTAGTCTCAGGAGACAGAGCGAGCTGTAACAATGGAGATGGCACGAGACAGCACAAGATAGCACGAGCAGTGAGAACCAGGAGACCGGTGTGAGATGGCTGCAGTGGGCTTCCTGGTCCATGGCACAAGACAGCTGCAGTGGGCTTCCTGGTCCATGGCACAAGACAGCTGCAGTGGGCTTGCCGACCCACAGAGCAAGAGAGCTGAGCGCCTTCGGGCAGGAGGCTTGCTGGTGGAGTGGGGTGCCTCCAGGCACTTGAGGGAGGAGAGAAAAGAGTTGTAACACTTGCCTAAGCAGGGCCTGTTAGCAGAGGCCTGTTCTAAGCGAAGCCCAGTGGCAGAAACCTAGCCCAAGCGGGGTACAGCAGCAGAGGCCCGAGCATGGCCTGCCTGTGGGCACAGCTGAGAAGGAGCTGAGGGCTGTTCTGGTTGGAAGCTGTCCAGATTGACAAACTGTATCGTGTCTCCTGAGTTGTTCCTAATACTTCCTAGTTGATCCTAATA